TTCCGCCTCCCGCCGCGCCCGGGCGGCCGGCCGGGCAGAGGACGGGGCATCCGCTGCCCCATCCCCTCGCCGGGCTCCGCGGTGCAGCCGCCCTGTCCCACGCAGCACTCGGCAGAGCTTATGGTGGGTGTTCTGACCCGTGCCAGATTCAATTGTTGCCCTTGTGATTTCCTCGGCTTTATTTGTGCAGCAGCAGGAAATTTAGGGCCCGCAGGACCCCTCCTCGGCGTGTTAGTGCCGCCCCAGCTGCCAGCTCCTGCCCTTCCCACCAATCCCTGCTCTTTTCCACACGCTGTGGTGCAGGTTTTTTTTATGTTCTGTTGCCTGGAGAAGGGAAAAGAGAAAAGACTCAATAGAGAAGAGGCAAAATGTGGATTAAAAATAGTTAATGAAAAAATGTGACCGCAAGCCCTGACCGGCAGCGCAGGGCTGAGACCAGCCAGCAAGAGCAGCTCTGCTCCCTGCACCTCGCTGTGCCTGGCAGAGGAGACGGAGAGGGAGAAGCAGAGGAGAGGCAGGCTCTGGCAAGCTGGATGCAGCAGAAATAGGATGACCAATCTGAGCTCCTCCATTGCATCCTGCCCTGTCCTGTGTTCCCTGTGGCCAGAACCCCTGTCCCTGTTTGTCTATCCCAGGGCTTCTGGGGAACATGCCGGGGAGCAGCAGGCACCAGGGGGCACAGGGCACCAGTGTCACCACACAGCACCCAGCTGGTGGCAGCTGTGCCCAGGTGCTGCAGGTGCCTGGGACAGGGAGGGACCCTGCCAGGTCCCCTGCCCGGCGGGGCTGCTGTGTGCAATGCCACTTGCACATCTGCATGGCAGCAGTGCAGGGTTTGTGCTCACTGCTGGGTGAGGTACCAGGAGGTTGTCACCAGGCTTGGGGAGGGTGCTGAGCTCCTGGTGCAGGAGTGCATGCACGTCTGTCTGCACTGACCTTTTCCTAGGCTTTTCCCAGTCCTGTGCTTTCCCCATGACACGCTAACCACACATGTCACATTGTGTCCCTTGTGTATGCTCCTGTGTTTCGTGGGTTTTCATGCAACACGATTAACAAGAAAAAGGCATTTCCCTGAGCCAGGAGTGAGGTGCTGCGTGGCTCAAGCTCAGCGAGGGCCAGAGCCTGTGAGGCAGTGAGGTTAACTGAGCACTGCCTGGCTGCCCAGCCCTGCCTGCAGACCCCACTGCCTCCCTGGCACAGGGCAGGTGCCCCTGGCTGTCCCTCTCGGTAGTGGAGCGGTTGTGGAGGGGCTGATGCAAAGAGCATTTGTCCTGATGACACAGGGTGAGTGCTGCTTGTTTGTATCCTCTGCTGCTGTTGACGAAAACACTGTCAGGGCTGGTTTAGGGTTTCTTGGTCCAGAGTGACACAGAACCCGACATCGTTGGTGCCTGGTGACGTTGGCTCTCTCCATGAGCTGCTCAGTGTTTCCACAGTCATGGAGCACTGTGCAAACAAGCTGTGGTCTCACACTGCAAGGGCAGCTCCAGCCTGTTCAGCTCTTCCTCTGCTGCCCAAGTTTTTGATACTCACTTCATGGAGGGCAACTGGAGCCACTGTGAGGAGTGGAAGGTGTCCCCAAGTTCAGGGCAGTGACACAGGGGAGACACAGACCAGACCTCCCGAATCTCCCCACTGTTGGTCCTGCCTGCCATGGTCCTGGGTGGAAAGTGGAGCAGCATCTGCAAGTGCCAGGCTGGTGCTGGCATTGCATCAGTTCTGGCCCTGCACCATCCCCTCCCCTGCCAAGTGCCGAAGCCCCTGCCGCGCTGGCTTGTAACTCTGAGCTCAAAGCCAAGCCAGCCGTGGAAAGAGCTGCATTAGCACACTGGGGGCTAATCCCTTGTCCAGAAGGGGACAGCCCCCACTGCTGCCCCTGGAGCAAGGGGTGCCAGGCGTGGAGCTGTGCTGATGGTCAGAGGGACCAGGTTGTGGTGGGCTGCTCCAGCCTCCCGGCGCTGCACAGGGCCAGGGCTGGGCCAGGGCGCTCCCAGGTCACGTTGCAGATGCCCATGAGTGTCCCTGTGGAGGCTTCGTGGAGCTGCTGATCCGTGTGGCAATCGGCCGCAGGGATCCCAGATGTGGAGCTTGTTCCCTTGCACGTGTGATGGCAGCCAAGGCTGGACACTGGCTGGGGTGGAAAAATCCCAGAGGAATCTCCCCTGGGCAGGGCTGGGCGTTCAGCTGGACACAGAGGTCAGCGTTGGAACAGGAGGTGCCACGGGGAAATGCAGGGGCTGCACACCTGTGAGTGCAGACAAAATCGTGACTCAAACCTTCTCCCATCTGTTCCCTATGGCTTGGTGTGATGCCACAGCAGTGGCAGCAGCCCAAGCAGAGATGATGGTGCCCCTATCCAACACCTCTGTCTCCCCCCCACCAGCACGTGGGCTGCCAGCACTGACCCTTCCCCGCTGAGCACAGCCCTCCTGGGGCTGGTTTGTCTCCCCTCCTCTCCCTGGCAGGCCGAGGTCTCCCCTGCACGGCTGCAGAGCGGTGCCGGGTGTTTGCAGCCTGGCCCCTGCGGGGGTCAGCAGCCGCAGAGCCATGACATGGGGACACTCTGCATTGCCCAATGCCAGCATGGGGCAAAAGTCCCCTGTGCTCCCACTGCGGCACCGTGAGCCCGGCCCAGGCACTCACAGGGCACCCCGCACCGGATACCCACAGCTCAGCGTGGCAGAGGGTCTCCCAAAGTCTGGCCCCAGCTGGGAGAGAGTTGCTGAGGCAGGGAACGTGGCACCAGGGACTGGGTAGTCACAGCAGGATGAGAGGAGGTGGTGACACAGAGTCGGGTCCTTCCTGCAGCAGTGGGCAGGGCTGAGGGGGGCACCTGGCACTGGCAGCCATGGCCCATCCAGACAGCAGCCACTGCTGCTCCAAGCACTGCAGGCACCAATACTGGGCAGTTCCAGCTCCTGAGAGGTGCTCAGTACTGCCGGTGGTCCAAGCTGCCCCAGACCCCACTGTCCTGGACACACAGGGCTACAGCTCCTTCCCTGCCACTGCTCGTCTGCACCAAACCCGGGACGACTGGTCCATGGCTGCGCCTGCACGCCCACGTGGCTGCTCAAAATAGCCCGTGTCCCCGAGAGCGCTTCGTGGGGTGGCCAAGCAGCCAGGGGTCCCTGGCACAGGGAGTAGGGTCCAGCCCAGCACTGCTGGGGCAAAGGGCCTGGGCAGGGCCCCACTGGAGGGGGAGCCCCGTGCCAGAGGCAAAGAGCGTGACCGTCCTTGTGCCAGGACCCCTCACCCAGTGCAGTCTGCCCAGCTTGGCCAGGCCCCTGGGCTGGGGGAGCCGCTGCCAACCCAGGGGGAGTCTGGGGCAGAGGCCTCCTCACTGCTAAATCCCATTGCAGGCAGCTAAAAATAGAGACACCTCTGCCCCAAAGCTGCTCCCTGGGTGGAGGGGCTGGCAGCAGGGTTGCTGCTGGAGGAGCATACACTGCCAGGGTAGGGATGCTCGGAGCAGGGGATGGGCACCGGGAGGTTCCCACAGGGCCAGTCCACGGGCGGTGGGTTGGATGGGGCAGGTGGGGCTGGGGACAGAGGGATTGGGGGGACAGGGATGCTGGTGTGGGGCTGGATGGGGACAAAGATGCTGGTGTGTGCAGGTGGCCAGTGGGCACCCACCGAAGGTCCCCATCATTCCCAGAGGCCACCCAGCATGGTCTGTCCCAGGAGATGGTTCCTTCTGCCCCGGCACTGTCTAAATAAGGCGCGCGCCGGCAGGTCCAGCTCCCCAAGCTGCATCTGGAGCCCCACACGCTGATTAATGAGCTTCTCATGCAGCCGCTTGCGACACGGCGAGTGGGTCTGCATGGAGGAAACACGACTTTCCCAGGGATAAAAATAGGCTCGGGCCAAGCGGCGAGCCCTGGGAGCGGTGGCTGGCCCGGGAGCACAGCACTCTGGCCAGTGCCCGGGGAGGCTTGGGGGGGTGATGCTTCAGTGTCTGTGGTGGCACCAGCAGTTCTGTCTGTTCTGTCCCTGTCCCCCCATGACTGCCCTCACCCCCCACAGCTGTGCTGTGCCATGGGGCTGCTGTCAGAATGGCCCCTTGTCGGCAGAGCCCAAATCCCACTCAGGAGCCCTGTAACCGGCTTAGGGGGATACAGGGAATTACGGCACCTCGTGAGCCGGACTTTGTGTGGGAGCTCCCGGGTTTTGCCATGTCAGACCAGGCTCCAAGTCGCTCGCCAGCTCTGGGGGTGATGGAGCCATAGTGGCAAGGCCAGGCTGAGCTGTTGCTGGGGCTGTGGTAGCCCCATGGGCCAGGGATCCCCATGGGTTGATGATTAACCACACAGACGCTGGCAGCCATGCCTGCAGCTCCATGCCCACCTCCATCCTGGGTGCCTGCTGTGGCCAGGCAGACCAGGAACAGGGATGGGGTACCCCAAGGGCGACCCTGCAGGGGCATCCTAGGGACCCAGCCACCTCCACTGCTGGACAAAGCTCCTGTGGAAGTGGCAGGGGGCAAGGCAGCCCCTGCCCTGAGATGATGCTCAGGCATGAGGAGGGGTCCTGGCTGCTGCCAGGGTTCCTGGCTCTTGAGGCTCAGCACTGTGGGGTACCAGCACCTGTATGGGGTGGGTCCCAGCCCAGGTCCACGTGTGGGTGGTCCAGAGGCAACCTTGAGGTTCTGCCCTGTGCCAGCTGGTCTGGGCTCGATGAGGCTGCAGCTCCAGTGCCAGCCTGGGGAGGAGGTGGCAGGTACAAGGCAGCTCTTCAGCCTCACGGGCTCACAAACAACCAGTGGAACGTTAAAGCCAGGTGGAGTCGGGCAAGGACGAGGACAGGACATGGTGCAGTGACTGTGGCTGGCTCTGCCTGCAGCCCTGCCCCCCGGGCTCTGCCGGCAGCCCCATCACCCTGCATCTTGTGCAGGGTCACCCGCGTGCCAGGGCCCTCGACACCAGGGCAGAGGAGCTGCCGAGGGCCGGTAGGACACCCAGGGCCCTGCACTGCTCCCCATGCGGCTCTCGGCCCGGAGGAGGGATGTCCCAGCCTCATCTCCTCAGCATCGTGTTGCTGCTGCTCCTCTGCTGCCAGGTAAGGATGGGACATCCCACACCGTGGTGCTGTGCCCTGCACCAGCCCCTGGCATGGCACAGCACAGCACCAAGTGGTAGGGCATGGCACATTAGCCTGTGCTTGCCCATGGCCATCCCAGAGGCAGGGTCACTGTCCTGCTTGTCACGGTGGCTCACAGCATGGCACAGGTGACCCTCCCCCATGTCCCCAGAGCCCCTCTGCCCAGATCACAGATTTCCTCTTCGAGAGCTGGAAGGCATACAGCGAGGAGTGCCACCGCAACATGAGCCGCCTGCCTGCGCCCACGGGTGAGAGCTGGCGTGGGATCGGGGGCAGGGGAATAAGGGTATGGAGTCTAGGGGGACAGAGACCTGGGCAGAGGTCTGACAGGGTCCCGATGCCCGGTGTGGGTGAGGCTGAGGGTGCTGCCATGTCCTGTCCCTCTGCAGAGCTGGTCTGTAACCGCACCTTCGACAAGTTCTCCTGCTGGCCCGACACGCTGCCCAACAGCACCGCCAGCGTCCCCTGCCCCTGGTTCCTGCCCTGGCACCAGAAAGGTAACAGCTGCATGAGGGTGTGTGTGCACACGTGTGTGGTGTGTGTGTGCACGTGTGGTGTGTGTGCACGTGTGCACGTGCTGCTCCAGGCTGTCTCGCCTGGCCCGGCGCTTGGTGCCGGCGCTGGCTGCGGCCCCAGCAGACCCCGTCGCCCTCTCCCGTCACAGTGAAGCACCGACACGTCTTCAAGACCTGCGGGCCGGACGGGCAGTGGGTGACAGGCCCCCAGGGACAGTCCCTGCGTGATGCCACACAGTGTAAGCTTGATGCCGAGGACCTGGAGGCACAGGTAGGCTGAACTGTGGGGCAGACAGCGTGAGGGTCCCTTCCCACCCTGCCTGCCCCTGCCCTCACTTGCTTTCTCTTTCTCTCTCTCCCCAGGAAAAATTTGCCAAGACCTACGGCAGCTTCAAGGTGATGTACACTGTGGGCTACTCGGTGTCACTGTGTGCGCTGCTCCTTGCCCTGGCCCTGCTGCTGGGCTTCAGGTAGGGGTGTGGGCATGGCAGCCCAGCTGGGGGGCATAGGGAGGCCATGATGGGAGTCTGGGGGTGCAAGTGGGGCTGTGACAGGGGTCTGGACACTGACAGCAGCTCATCACCTCCACAGCAAGCTGCACTGCATGAGGAACTACATCCACATGAACCTCTTTGCCTCCTTCATCCTGAAGGGTGTCTCCGTGCTGGTCATTGACGCCCTGCTCAAGACCCACTACAGTGACAAGATTGACGACTACAACGTGCACATCTGGCTGAGCGATGAGGTGAGGCCTGGAGTTGGGGGGCTGGGGGCCATGGGGATGGGATCCATGGGGCAGGCGGAGCTGGAGGGGCTGGGGGCATGGACAATGCTGCAGCCCTGTCCCCTGCCCACAGGCA